GTGATCCCTATCAAGGTATGTGAGTTCTTTGTGTGGATTGATCCTTTCCCCCACACACCAAGCTCATTTTATGATTTGAGGAAAGATTGGAATTGTTGTTGAAGTTGTTAGTTGTTGTTGATGTTGTTAGTTGTGTTGTTGAAGTTTATGGTTGTTTGTGAGACATGATTGGGTTGTGTTTTTAGTTGTAACCTATGGTATGTTGAGGGATTGATGATCCTTAGTGTTTGGGGTTAGATCCATTGAAGTAAGGATGGTTTGGAGTTGAAGAAAAAGGGGAGAAAAGTCGAGTTTTTGGGCAAGGGAGTTGGCGCGTCGCGCCTGCCAGCGCGCCCCAAAAGGGGCTATGAGGTTTCCCCCTTGGGGCGCCGCGCCTCTCAGAGCGCCAGCAGGTGACCTCTGACTTTCGAGGGCTGGCGCTCCGCGCCTTGCAGAGCGCCAAGGACGCCAAGTTTCCCCCATTCTTCCATGCTTTCTCATGCATGTTCCTAGGTGTTATACCTATGTTCCCTAGTTGTTTCCAACACCCCAAAGTGCTTCTAAACATCCCGAACTCATCCAAATACGTGTGATCATATACCTTGAATCCGTAGTTCAATTCAAGGCAAGTTAGTATCAAGTTAAAGAGAAGTTAGAGTCAAGTCAAGCCATGTTAAGAAGTAAGTTCAAGAAAGTCCTCCAATCTTTTCAAGAGTCTTCATTAAACGTTTTAACTTCATTTTTAGACTCAAGTTTCAAGTCAAGCAAAGATCTTAGAGTTTCAATCTAAGTAAAGAGTCTCAAGACTCAAGTTAAGTCAAGAGTGTAAGTTGAGTTCATTTCTCAAAAGCTATTAGGGAACTATGTATTCCCAAAGAAGTTTCTAAATGTTTTTACATTTGAGTAAGAAAGGAACTTTGATTCCAAAAGAACCTTAGGGCTAGTTTTCAAGAAAAAGGAACATCGTTTCCAAGTGAGCCTTTGGGCTAGATTTTGAGTAATTATCTCATTTAAAGAAAGATGTGTTTAAAACACTTATGAGTCAAAAGCATTTTGGGAGTAGTATCGAGCACCGAATTGGGGACGAGAGTTCATATTAAACTCAACTCTCCATAAGAACCATGTAGCCAACATGAGAGTTAACGGGTCATACTTTTTAGATGAACCCGTAAAGTTAAGCTAGTGGATCCACTTAGTAAAGTTAGTTTCCTATATCAAGACCAGGTATAAGATGGTCCTTAGGCAATGTGAGGTAAAACGTTGTATCATTAGCTTCTTATATCACGGCAAGGTATATGATGGTTCTCGGGCAACGTGAGGTAAAACGTTGTAACACCACTCATATTCATAGTGATAGTTTGTCGGTTAGAGAAGCTCCCACAGTAGAAAGAACATGGTTCCTCGAGGGTTCTGCTTAGTATGGATGGGGGTATGGGACTTCATTCATACATTGCACAAGTAGACCTTGAGAGGAAACATGGTATTTTCATGATATTATAAATATGATTTTTACGTCATGTTTTAAGAGTTTTACAAGCTTTATATATTGCATGTGTCTTATTGCTTTATATATTGAGTTCAGTTATTCATGAGTTGAACAGAGCCAAGGTAAGTGTTCTCTTGTACTCCTTTCAAGCTTAAGTTGTGGTTTAGCTTTCCAGCTCGCATGCTCGTACATTCAATGTACTGATGCCAGTTGGCCTGCATCTTATGACGATGCAGATACAGGTACCCCGGATCAGCATCTGGCACGTCGTTGATCCAGCTGAGCACTCCAGAGTCAGTGGTGAGCCTCCTTGCTTTCCGGAGGACTTAATTATCTTGTGTTCTTAGTTTTGTTTTATTAGGGTGTTGCGGGGTCTGTCCCAACATCCATCTCAGTATTTAGAGGCTTCATAGACAGTCAGTCAGTTAGTATTGAGTCTCTCACCTATGTATATATGTAAATATTCTATTTTGAGACTCGAGCTGCCTTTTGGCATGTTATGCCTTAGTTGGTTGTTTTATAACCTTTCATTGCATTGAGTTGTACTGTTGAGTTAAGTTTCTGTTGAGTTAAGAAAGTCAGGCCAAGGGTTCGCATGGGGCCAGCAATGGTCTCCGGGTGTCAATCCTGCCCTGGGTATAGGCTCGGGGCGTGACAGGATGAACCCCCTTCGTACAAGGTGGCTCCGCCCCTGGTCAAAATCAAATTAATACTAATGAAAAAAGAAAATCAATTCAACACTAAGAATGACAATAATATTGAATATTTGTTCTTTAGTTTTACATAGGTTTAGACATTTAAAATACATAATCTAATTTTAATTTCCTTTAATATTTAGTCATGTAACTAACACTTATTAAACTTATTTTAGCATGATTTAGTACTTTTAAATTATGATCATTTTCACTATGACTTATAATTTGCAATATTTGTTTTACGCGATTTCATTATTATTTTTTTGTTGGATATTGTAGTGTCATTATTCATATCATATTTTGTGTTATTTTCTTAAGATACACCTTAGATAGTTGTATATTGCTAGGACTAAAGAAATATTTGAAGTACAAGTAAATTACATGTTTGTATTAATACTTGACCGGAAAACCCCGAAAAACCCAAAAATCTGAAAAACTCGAAAAAATTCGAAAAAACCCGAGGTTGAAAAACTCGAATTTTATTGGTTTGATTTATAAATTCAAAAATCCGACACAAATAATTTGGTTTGATATTTAAAAAAATCCGAACCAACCCGGCCATGTACACTCCTAATATTAATGATTTTCACCCTTTCATAACGGTACACCTGGTTGGCTCCATATTTACCTCTTGAAGTTTATTTATTTTAGAGAAAGCCAATAAGTTTTTATTGTATCTTTGTTATATTTACTTGTTAGTACTCTCTGTCCCTAATTATCTATCCATTTCTCTTTTTTTAGTTATTTGTCTATTTTGATAAATCAAGAAAGAAATTTTACTTATTATACCATCAATTAATTATTTAAAAAAAGGTAGAACTTTTTGAAAATCTTATGTTTTAATTCATACACTACATAATCAATATTTAATAGGGGTAAAATGGTAAACTTACTATGTTAATACTCCCTATGTCCCATTTTATATGTCACCTTTTTACTTTGCACTTGTATTAAGAAATGATATATATTGGAGCCAAATTTTTTCACCAATTGATCCAAAATAAATTAAAAATCAAGTTTTTCCCACCTCAATTTTCCTATATATTTTGTGTAAAATATTTTTTTTTAAAATATAAATTCTTAAAGCAAACATGACAACATCACAAGATATATTTGCTCCTAAAAGTATACAAAATTAATGAATGTAGAGGATGTTTTTTAAATCAAACAATAAATAAATCTCTATATCACTAATTTCAATATTATTAATACACTTTATATATTTAACATAATTCTTACGTACCTGTCAAAATTTACTTTGATGGTGAACGAGATTAATGTCCCTATTCTTCTTTTGACTGTCTTGGGCAAGTGGCTTGGTTGGTAAGTTTCAATGTCAGAAGTTTATATTAGAACTTTCAAAAGCACGGCATTAAAGTTTAGTGATTTTTTTTTTCCAAAATAAGAAAGGGAATAATCATGATTATTTAGTCTCTTTTATTATTTTTTTAAAAACAATAGAAAAATCTATAAGAGATATAATCTTTAATATCATTTGAATAATTAATCTATATTTAAAAAATTAATATAAAAGAAAGTAGATAAACTATTTCACCCTCTAAATAAGAGTACATTTTTAATAATTATATTGTGCGTGTTATTATACTACTATTGAGATATTTCATTACACTAATGTTCTCGTGGATTTTTTTTATCTTTCGCAACTCTCATCAAAAGAGCTACTTAAAAGCCTTAAAGTCAAGTAATTTAAATTCGACTAATTCAAATTTGCACTACAAAGCCTATTTCACCTTAAAATTAGGCCGGCAGGTAAGCAAGCAGCTAATTCTCTAACGTAAAACCTCAATGATCCTACTTCGATTAACTTCTATTTATATTAAAGAAAAGGTACAACATTATATTATTAATGAGGTTAATTATTGTGGAATAATAATAATATATTATATTTACATAGTCAGATCCTCAGATAACAGCTAACTATTCATAATAAACTCAATTGTCAACTTAGAAAGTGAAAGAAATAACCAAATAGCTTGTTGTAATAATAATAAGAAGAAGAATTAATTATCAGTGTAAAATTTTGTACATCATTGTTTTAAAATTCTTTTCTACTTTTTGAAGTATTTTTTTAAAATCTCTTAAATTATTTTGCTACAACTTTAGGTGACATTTATGTTTTTAAGATTCTTTTCTTCTTTATATCAATGATTTTCACCCTTTCATAACGGTACACCTGGTAGGTTCCTTTTTACCTCTTGAAGTTTTTAGTACTTTTTTCTGAGTACCCTTTTCCTGCACAAATATAGGATAAAATTTATTTTTACTTGAATCGAGGATCAGAAATAGTCTTTTTTATCTCTGAAGTTCGGCGCATAATCTATCTATTCTCTTTATATGATACAAATTCCTAGTGACATACTTTTAAGCCACATTCATTTGTCCATTTGGTAACAATTTGAAGGTAAAAGTTGTGAGTTGGTGGATAATTAAATAAAACACACTAGTCAATACAAAGAACTTGGACTAACATGTAGAAGCTTCAATTACTTCTCTCATTTCAAAAACCTGTATTCTTTTTTGAGCCATGGATGACACTTGAAATTACTAGTGAAAAACAGAGATGATACAAACACACAAACTTAAGCAGCCCACCAAAAAACAGAGCTATATTTTGTATATGATATATATATATATAGAGCATAACCAAAACAACACACCCTCCTCTTCCATATCATCATTTACATATCACTTTACTAAAGTATTCAAAGATTAAAAAAAAACTATTCTACTTGTTCATCTCATTTTCTTTAATGAGGCTTTTAGTAGTAGTATGTATATATATATATATATAGTAAGTAGAGTAGTAATATATTTTTGGGTTTATTGACTCAAGCAGCAGCAACTGTGCCTCTGGGAAAATGGAAATTTTTGGGAGAAGTAGTCTGGTCCTTTTCTCTCAAAGCCTTGGATGCTGAAAGATTTATTTTTTTCTCTTTTGCTTCATCCATATCTATCTGTTCTTGTCTGCATTCTTCACTACAGAATGGAGTATCCCCTCTGCATCATTACAATCAAAACAACAATTACTCAAACTCATTTTCACAATGACTAAATGTATAGCAATCAATGTTTTATTTTTTCGGACATAGTTATTATTATCTTGTAAAGTTACTTTTTTGTTGGAAAAAAATTAAAATCAACAAGGATGAATTTATGAGATAGTACCTATTAATTATGTGACAATATGAAAATTCAACCCAAACAATTCTGTTTTAACCTGATTTATACTAAGTACTCCATAAAGAAGTTCTTTACTCTGTTTTTTGTAAAAAAATGAATTCTTAAATAAAAATAAGATCTTTGATCAGAACAACAGTTACTATTTATTAAAACATCCATCTCCCCAACAAAAAATACGAAAACTAAACACATTAAAGAAAGATAATAAGAGTTCTAAGTATTGTAAATTGAAAGTAATGCACAAAATATCAAACTAACAAATCACAAAAAAGAACATTTTGTTGAAACATACTTTAAATGAAGAAAAACTGACCTGTACATGAAAATGTCTCTGTTATAACCAAGTGGTTTGTTACAAAGAAAACAAGCATCCAAGAAATGGGGTTGTTGAAATCTAGTAGTATCATAGTACTTTCTTCCACCAGCAAATCTTGGAGATGACATTGAAGAAGAAGAAAGACTTGTGAGGCTACTCTTCCTTTGTAAAGCAGTATAACAAAAAGGCCCTCTTCTTGTTGCACTGTCCATTTTTTTTCTTGTTTGTAGAAACTAGAGAGGAGAAGAAACAGTGTGAAACTATATTATTTTTGGAGAAAGAAATGGGGTGAGTTATAAAGAAAGTTTGGTACAAATATTTTATTTGGAGAGAAAGTGTAAAGTGCAAAACAATGATGTTTCTCAATTTGGTGCAAGTGGAATCTAATTCTATTGGCCAACTATTCCTTGTATCTTCCCCTGTTTTATTTTTTCTGACAATTATATCCTTGTTTTCTAAATATTTACCTTTTTGCCATTACTACGTTCAAGAAAGAGAAAGTTACATAAAAGGGAGCCTCGTGAGTCGTGAGGATCGGTTTAAAGTAGTTTAGCAGTTTTAATTCCATCAATTTATTAAAAATAAATATATTTAGTTTCTCAGTACTTGAGAAACTGCCAGACAAGGAAGCCAAAAATAGCAGAAATTATAAAAGTTACACTTTTAAGTGTGAACTTCTAATTAATGTTTTTCAGTGTCGATTAAATTTAATAATTGAAATATTTAAATATTTGACAGATAGCAGTTTAGATTAATCATACTTTAAAATATAAAGGGGCTTTTTTTTATCATTTTCTCGTCCAAGGAACATATGCCAATTTTCCTAAAATATTTAAGGGGTAAAACAAAGTAAAAATGAATATATCGCCCTTTTTAACTTCTTTGAGTAAACAGGCATATTTCAAAATGAGTAGTGCCGTTACTAAATTACAGAAACTTAGCTTAACCAAATTATTTATAATTGAAGAAAAAAAGAATATGTTGATGGCATTGGTTGGTAATATTGGTAGAGATGAAGGGCAAATAGTATAAGAAAAATGTTGGAGGAGTTTTCCTAAAAGTGAGGGTCCATTTGGTATTCCCCGAAAACTTGCGACCTAACGGCACATGAGATGCTTTGCCCTTCTAAAGCGCAAGAAAATTACAACGGGCCGAGCGGGATGCGGGCCCCAAGCCCGGACCCACCTCCCATTTATTTGCGCGTCAGTATTTACTTTCGATATTATGTCACCATCCTATTTTTATTCGTGACCACTCTAACACCTCCTCTCCGCCAGAAACAGATATTTTTTTCGGAGAAATTACGAATACATACTAGTTAATTGGTTTACCTATAATTTTAGTTAATTATCGTTCCTAATCAACATTCAATGATAATTACGTGAACTGAAGTTTTAAGTGTGTATAATTCAAATTTTTGTATAATTTAAAAATTATATAATATAATATATTTAACTTTTGTATAATATAATTTGTATAACTATTTAAAGTTTAGATGTTTATGTTGCATATATTCGTTATTTTGAGTTTATTAAAAAAATAGCTCAATCATACAAACTTATCTGCGAACTATACAAACCCGCAAATTATACAAACGAGTCAACTTAAACTATGACTACAATCAATAAATATGTGAACTATAACTATGAAGCATAATTAAATTTATTATAGTGGCTATTTGCGAAAATTTCTCTTGTTTCTTTTTCTTTTACTCCCTCCGTTTAATATTACATGTTCTCGTTCATCTATCACATTTTTAATTTTTTTTAATTAGAATTATATTTTATTAAAATGATATTTTCAAAATTTTAAATTTGATAATACAATTATTTAATACTGAGGATAATATGAAAAAAAGAAGTAAAAGAATTCTTTTGATTTGTTAAAATGTACAAATAAAATAAAATAGAGAAAGTATTAACTTCACGTGAAATTTAAAAAAATAAAAAAGATTTTTTAATTTTGATAGTCTTAAGTAATTAAAAATACATAGAATATATCAAAATGACACATGTCATGTGAAAAAATAGATTTAAAAATTGTAAAAAGAGTTTTTTTAAAACAAACTTAAGAAAAGAGGAAGAAGTATTAAACTTTTGCTGTTTAAATGATTTGATATTTAGAGTGATGATAGCGGGATACTAATCATTTACGACACTTGTATTCTGTGTGCTAAGAGCTTAAATAATTGTCGTTTAGTCTGACAAGTGCATGAAATAAAAATGGTTCGTATTTGGCTGAAAATAGGTTTTACCAAATGAGAAAGCATTTTAAAACTAAAAAACACCTTAAAGCATATGAAAAAACTGGTGCTGAATGTTTAAGTATTGATTACTATGTGCTGCAAAATAATAGGAGATTTTGATGAAACATTAAGCTCAATTACGTCATGAGATGCTTAACCTTTTCCCCATATTGTTTTGTTGTTTACTTAGAGCCCGTTTGGATTGGCTTAAAAGTCTATCAAATATACTTTTAAGTCAGATTTTGATTTCTAGAAGTGTTTAGCAAATATTAAAAATGATTTAAAATAAGTTATGAAATGTTTGACAAAATAAAAAATGACTTAAAATAAGTCAGAATCAAAAGTAAATCTCTCCATACTTTTTATTTTTTAATTTAAAAGTCATTTCAATTTGATTTTTTATTTTTGACTTAAAAACTATTTTTTAAAGTCAATTCAAACGGACTCTTAATTACCTAAAATTCTCCACTTGATCATCAATCATCATCATTGTGCAGGCGTGACAATCAAAGTCAAAGTAATAATTTACTAACAAACCTTCTAGTGGAATGATAAGTATTTTACTATTCTTAATTAAAGGTCTTCTTCATATATTTAAAAAAAAATTATAAATAAAAATAATAATTTTATTTATCATAAGAATAAATTAAACATAATTTATTTTAATTCTGCAAATTATCAAATAATTATTTTTTAATATGAGACGAAAGGAATAATACACTCTTCATTTCATTTTATTTATCTTTCCTTTGAATTTGTTTTAAAGAAAACATCCCAAGTTAATTGAATAAAATTAAATATTTAGAATTAAGTTTTCTTGACAGTATAGATTTAATTCTAAAAATTCATCTTAATTATGATTTTTATATTTATAAAAAAAATAACTTTAAAATTAAAAGTTACCAAATGGGCCCTTAGTCGTAGGCGTAATATTTGTGAGGAAGAGCGGTGAGAGTAGTAATAATGTTGATGACCAACATGGGTTGTTGTGAATTGGTGGGAGTATTTTACTTCTAATTAGAGGTTTTGGATTCGAATCCTGGATATGAGAAATTTTTTGTTGAAAACGACATCTCCAAATGAGTCCTGCAGTACACAATTTAAATTTAATCAGAGCTTTAATATAGATTCCAACCACCGAAAATAAAAAAAGTAATAATGTTGAGGAAGAGAGAAGGGTAGGACGGACCATTCCCCACAGGTGTCCCAAAAGGAGACAGGTGTTGACTGTTGAGCCAATTTCTGCTGCCCTTTAGTCCCCGGTCAGCCGTTGAAACGCTGCCCCATTCGACATCATTAACACCGACCCAACTTCCCATACTTTGCCTCTCAAAATCATAAATGCCTCACTATTAATCTTTTCACGTTATGCCTCCATTTTTTAATTTCGATTTGTCTCACAAAGTTCAATTATATTAAAGATAAAAATATAAAGTAACACATCAAGTTATCTCAAATTTTTAAAAAGACATCTTAATTATGTAGATATTCTATTACCTCCTTAAACAATTTCGATAATATATTATTACATCATTTTTTGATCGATTCCAAATTTTAAATGACAAGTATTATCACACACCAATTATTATGTAACACATATTAATTTAATTTGAAATTTTTTTTTCATTTTAAATTTTTCTTTATTTCTCTCTCTTACTTTTGACTTATTTTAATTTTATTACTTTAATTTTAATTTCATTTTAAATTCTACTTCATCTTCCACCTCTACTTTCAAACTACCCCTCTCTCCATTTTCTTTCTTTTTTCTTCTTCACCTCACCCCACCCCCACGTCAAATTAAGCTCCTCCATTTTCTTTCTTTTTTCTTCTTCTTCTTCGGTCAAATTTCTTTCTTTCCAAAATTACATTATTTTCTAGAATTTGTGTTATAATTTGTGTTATTGATAACAAAACTAATTATTTTTCTAAGAAAAATCAAAATTTTGAAGATATCATCAATTAATTTATCTCATATTCATATAACTTCAAAACTAGAAATGATAATTTTGAAAGAATCAGAATTCTTCGAAAATTGAAAAAGTTTAATTGAAATTTGAATAAAAAAACTAAATAATACTAATCATCTTGAAATCTAATAGATTTATCAAATTGTTTGAAATGTAATAAAATATTTAGATATAATTTTAAAATTGAAGAAAGTTAAACTACTATTAGTAAAAAAGGGAGATGAAGTTATGGTAAAAAAGTGACATGAAAGTGAGAAGGTACAATGAAGATGACAATGAAATTTTGAAGAAGAAGGAAGAAAGAAAAAGAAAAGAATAATAAGGAGAAAAAGTTAAAATAATAAGAAAAACAAGAAAATATATTTTATAGCAAAATACTTGTAAAAATGTAATTAAATTCGTTTTTTTAGTTTATTCACGTTTAAGAGAGTGCATACACTCTCCATGCCAGCTGGACAAAAAATGATGTAATAATATCAGTTCATGATTGTTTAGGAGAGTAATAGGACGCTTGCATAGTTTATTTGTCTTTTAAAAATTTCGGGACAACTTCGATGTCACTTTATGTCTTTTCTCTATATTGAAAGTAATTGTTTCATAAATATTTGTTTAATTTGAAAAAATAAAATATAATTTATTCTTGTGTGTCTATTTTATTCTTACTATTAAATATTTCAAAATTATAATTTATTCTTTTGTATCTATTTTATTCTTAATATTCAATATTTCAAAATAAATAAATTGTTGAGCCAATGCACACTCATTAATAAAAGAAGTTAAGAACTTAAAATAAACACCACTTTTACTTTTGTCCGTTGAAATATTCTCAAACTATTCTTAAAAATATAAATAATTCAAAGTAAAATCATAATTATGAATAGTGAACACTCTTGAAATAATCACCTATAAGATGTAACGTGGGGCAAAAAAAGGGGAAAAATCCAATATCTTAAACTTTAAACAATTCAATTATTTTGAACTACGAAAAAAACTTCAATAATTCACGTATTTGAAACGGAAGGAGTATTCAATATCTGTT